CAATTTTAAGCACAACCAAACTGCTATTATATGCTTATGAATCACACAACTTTACAACCGGTTTTAAGAAACTACAATACAAATATGACGATTTTTATGCAGCTATATATCATTCTTTGAAATTAATAGGTCATTAAATTTAAATAAAAACTTTAACACTGAAATTTTTAATGAATCGCTACGTAGTTCTAGGAAGAGAAATTTGTTTTGCTAAAAAACCTCTAAACATAAACAATAGCTTTATATAAAATTATTAAAAATGAATCATTTTTTGTATCTCAAAGCCAACTTATCATAAGTTTTAAGTATTTTGTTAAAACAACAAATAAATTAACTAACAATTTGTTGAAAACGTGTTTGTAAAGATCTTTTTTTTACTCTCTACCTACACCACACTAAAACTTGCAAATTTTTATTTTGAACAGGTGATTTCTGGCCCATAAAACTAAAGACGTAGTTGTTATTAAATTATGATTGCTTTAGGTGAGGAACAGTGAGGTGTACATAAATATTTCTTAAAGTGTATGTGGCATGAACATGCTAACTTATAATTAAAGTGTCAAAAATAACAGCATTTTACAAATTTAAGGCTTTAAGCTATAATTAGTTTTTAACGAATTTTATACAAGTAATTTGCAAAACTTCAATTGTTTTTGGGGGCTATTAGAATAAGGTGAATTAAGGTAATTTTATAAAGTAATTTGCCAAACATGAAATGTACAAAAGAAATCTTAGAATAATTAATTTTTGTTGGATACAATAGATCTAAAGAAAGCTTTGTATAGGGAAAGCTATTAGCTATGTTTAAAAACTTCTTCATAGATTAGTCCACACACTAGACTTATGCATGAACCTGTCAATAGATTGGTTCATAGACTATACTCATCAATGAACTGATTACTAATAACTAGTTTCTGGACTAGCCAATAAGCCAGTCTATGGACAAGTTCATAGACAAATCTATGGAGAAATCAATAGACCAGTTTATGGACAATCAATTGACCAAACTATAAATAAGCCAATAGACGAATCTGTGGACATGAAAATAGACCTAAACAATTCAATAGAAAAGTCTATGGACTAGGCAATAGACTAGTCTATTAAATAGTCAATAAGCTAGTCTATTAAATAGTCAATCGAATAGTGTATAGTATAGTCAATACATCAGTACATGTCAATAGTTAGATCACTACATGGACTAGTCAATAGTTCTGTCTTTATAATAGTCTATAGTACAACACACAGACTAGTTAATAAAGTAGTCAATAGACCATACTATCAATTAGTCTATATACCAGTGTATGGTCTAGTTAATAGGCCGGTCTATAGACTAGTCAATAGATCACTACATGGACTAGTCAATAGTTCTGTCTTTATAATAGTCTATAGCACAACACACAGACTAGTTAATAAAGTAGTCAATAGACCATACTATCAATTAGTCTATATACCAGTGTATGGTCTAGTTAATAGGCCGGTCTATAGACTAGTCAATATATCACTACATAGACTTGTCAATAGTTCTGTCTTTATAATAGTCTATAAAACAACACACGGACTAGTTAATAAAGTAGTCAGTAGACCATACTATCAATTAGTCTATAGACCAGTGTATGGTCTAGTTAATAGGCCGGTCTATAGACTAGTCAATAGATCACTACATGGACTTATCAATAGTTCTGTCTTTATAATAGTCTATAGAACAACACACGGACTAGTTAATAAAGTAGTCAATAGGCCATACTATCAATTAGTTCGTAGACCAGTGTATGGTCTAGTTAATAGACCGGTCTATAGACTAGTCAATAGATCACTACATAGTTCTGTCATTATAATAGTCTATAGAACAACACACGGACTAGTTAATAAAGTAGTCAATAGACCCTACTATCAATTAGTCCATAGACCAGTGTATGGTCTAGCTAATAGGCCGGTCCATAGATCTGTCATCATACTAGACAATAGGCTAATACGTGGACTGGTGGATAAATTAGTCAATAGACTAATTAATAGAGTCTATGGACATGTCAATAGGCCAATCTATGGACAAGTCAATATGCCAGCCTATGCATTAGTTCATGAACAAGTCAATAGCCCAGAATGTGGTCCAAATAACACCGTCCAACACCATTTTTCACACACGAACCAAACCATATACATACGAAAGCACATAATTTATGTGGAATAACTGCGTCTAAAACGCACACCTAATCTTCCTACTGAAACCATAATGCAAAATTTAAATGCATTTAAATTATTAATTTGTTCATATTTCTTTCTTTCTTTCCCCCCTATAATTATTATTCGCTCAATATTTGCTATTGAAAATAACATAAGTTAATCAACTTTCCATGAAACTGACCATAAAAACCAATAAAACAAAACCTTATATAAAAACCGGAAAGAAAACATCTGCATACATTCTGGGTCTTGCAAATAAGGGCAAAACAACACTTGTTCATAATACATTGAATTATTAACAACGACCATCCATGATGGTCAAGTCAAAGGCCGTAAATAGCTTAGTACTCGTAAAATGAAAACAAATAAAGATACAAAGATGCGAAATATATGTACAACAACAAAATAACAGCACTTGAAACAATTTATTGGTTATAAATAAAAGAGAAATTTTAAAAAACAATAACATATAGGAATAAATCGTAATGAGTCTCATATATAACGAATTTAGTTAAGACTACATTGTTAAAGGAAAGAGGTGATGGATGAACTAGCGAAACAAAATCTCTTATATCCAATAAGTTGCAGTTTTTGAAGGCAGTATCCTCAGATGAATCAAAGACAGATACATATAGACGTGTAAGAGACTAAAAGAAGAGATCAATATGATCTGTCAATTTCGATGGAAGCTGAGGCTACTATACTACGATCTGAGATCATGTTTAAAAAATTATATATATTATATTAACTGTCATTTTCTTAATTGGACCGAACAAACGTTTGGTATTTTCCCGATTGGATGTCAATTTATAGAACTATATATAGTCGTTATTAGGTCAGGTGAATTTGAAGAGGATTACCGAAAGAACCAATCTTAAAGTGGAATTAATCTCCTATCCTCCCTCCCATATCTCGTTATATTTCGCACGGTCAATTTGGCGAAGATGTGTGTTTTATGTCTAGGCAGGAAACATGCCATCGAACTAACCTCGATCTGGCTCCCACCTTTCGTTTTAGATAATTCAGTGAAATTGTTTAGCTCTCTCGATCCATTTTGCATTTGTAAGTTTAACTTCTTCAAGTTCCCTGCAAGTGTATTAGCCCTTTCGTTACCCATAATCATCGTCCTGGTACCCATATAGTACAGAGCTTACTACGGGAAGAAATATCGTTTATAACTTTCTTACAATCTAATACTGTCGTAGACTCATTAACGGCTGACAACGCCTTTATTGCTGACTACTTCAAATTTTACCGCCTGGAAGCTTAAGTTGTGATTTGGAACCGAAATACATTAGGTTTCGGTTCAATCACCCAGCTTAGAACAGTTCGTTTAGTAATAGATTCGCATGTTAACTTCTCTATCTGGGATCAATGTCTCACGATTTCTGACCATTTCGGTTTCTGGTATTCGATTGGTTACCTCTAATGTTTGCGTATAACCGACTAATATGTCCAGTATACACTGTATGTGTATGGCCTTTTCCCATCATTCTGACGACATATGGATTTCTCACGAAAAGAACTACACAATTTCGGATACCCTATTCTGAATTGAAGCGTATTCTCGAGAGAGCTTTCAACATTAGCAAGGGCTGACTATAAGACGGGTGAGTTAAAACTTCACAACCACATCTTTCTAAACAGTTTTAAATAGGGACTGCAACATGTGACCGAACGTAGTGAGAAGGAATTTTACGTTTTCATGTCTGGCAGTATATTCTAGTCATTTATCGGCCAATAATCTCTTCAAACCAATCAGTTGCATTAGGTACATGTTTCAGCGGACATTCAGAATCAACTTTTAAGATTTCTCAGCTTTAATTCATATGGTAGCCAATTCCCTAGCTTTTTATGAATCCTGCTGCTGGCAAACGTTTTGAAATTGCTGTCCGAGTAGGTCTTATTGGGTTTGACAACAACAAGTTATCTTAGCCATCTGTACAATCAAAATCACAACTTCTGAAGAGCTCAAACCATATCTCTCGCACTTTGAAACCGATGGAATACATAAATTTCGGCGATCAAGCGGTGACTTTTCAAAAGTCACGTATTCCTCATATTTAAGATAAGCGCCCAATATTCAAATGGAATATTACAAGGCTATAGTTCGTTCTGAGCACTGATCTGTTGCTATAACATATATGTATATCGGTTCAGTTGTTTTTACGAGTGAAAGTTAGAAAAACCTTTAGTTAGGGATTGATATTGGATAAATGGACTCAATGTACAGTGGGCCATTTCCTATAAGAATCAACATTAAAACCGTTACCAACTTTATGGCGAAATTAATATTATCACCCAGTTGTTCATAGAGCTAACTCAATAAAAACAAATAATCAAAACAAAAAACGAATGAATAAAAATAATAAATACAAGTGAAAAGAATTATGTATTAAACTTTTGAAAGAGGCAAAAATACACACACGTGAACAGAAAATAAAAACAAGGAAAGAGAAATGCTAATAAACCCCCCAAATAAAGAAACAAAAACAACAACAAAAAATCGACAAAAACATGTGTGCGTGCTTGGTATGAGAAAGAAAAAACATGGAGCATACAACATAACGTCATGTGCTGGAAGTTGTTGTTGTTGTTGTTTAACATTTCAACATAAAAATCAATATTTTTGTTTTGTTGTCTCATTTTTTAAAGTAATGAGTAAATTATTATTAAATGAGTAAGTTTAACCCCCAAAGGTGAGAATCCATTAGAATTGATAGTTAGAAAACAACAACAAAAACAACTACTACTGCAGTAATAATAATAAATTAATAATAATTAAAGAAAACCTTTACACATTAAAATTATATTCTTACCTTGCTTACACCCCTGCTAGAGAAATATGTAGGTATTGTTTGTCTATTGTTTTTAACTTGAAGTTTAAGTTTAGTGTTAATTATTATTTTATTTAAATCTTTTATTAAGTATTTTGTAATTTATTTACACATTTATTATTAGCTTTCTTAGTATTCATGCTTATTTATGCAGCAACTTGTTTGTTTTGTTTTTTTTTTCTTTGTTATTTTTTTGTAGATTTTCTTATTGTTGTTATGATAATATTTGTAAACAATTATAAATTTTTTAACACACAACTTTTAAACTGGTTTTGTTTTTTTTCCGCAGCCAGTCATAACAATATTACTGTGCACTTGTATATTTTTATTATTCCCACTATTTTAACTTTTGCTTTTATTTATAATTTATGTATTATGTTTAATATTTTCTATTTAATTTATATTATTCACTCGTATATTTATAATTTATTTAAGAATTTCTTATTTATTAAACATTTTAATGCATTCCATTAGCAAGAAGACATTTTCTTTTAGTAAAAACACTTTTGCTCACTCACAAAGTACCGTTAATTCTGTCAACACATCCGTCTGGTTGGACAAACTCTTGTTATCTGTTTGCTAAACATATGAGTTTGTTTGTATATAAATTTCTGTTTCGAACAGGGTTGCAATTTTAAGTAGTAGCTAACAGTGGTGGTTCATTGAGTGCGGGCATATTATTCGGTGGAACTTTTCAAAGAAATGTGAATGATGTTGAAATAGGTAAGTTGTCAACTGACTAACTAACTAACTAACTAACTAACTAACTAACTAACTAACTAACTAACTAACTAACTAACTACTAACTAACTAACTAACTAACTAACTAACTAACTAACTAACTAACTAACTAACTAACTAACTAACTAACTAACTACTAACTAACTAACTAACTAACTAACTAACTAACTAACTAACTAACTAACTAACTAACTAACTAACTAACTAACTAACTAACTAACTAACTAACTAACTAACTAACTAACTAACTACTAACTAACTAACTAACTAACTAACTAACTAACTAACTAACTAACTAACTAACTAACTAACTAACTAACTAACTAACTAACTAACTAACTAACTAACTACTAACTAACTAACTAACTAACTAACTAACTAACTAACTAACTAACTACTAACTAACTAACTAACTAACTAACTAACTAACTAACTAACTAACTAACTAACTAACTAACTAACTAACTAACTAACTAACTAACTAACTAACTAACTAACTAACTAACTAACTAACTAACTAACTAACTAACTACTAACTAACTAACTACTAACTAACTAACTAACTAACTAACTAACTAACTAACTAACTAACTAACTAACTAACTAACTAACTACTAACTAACTAACTAACTAACTAACTAACTAACTAACTAACTAACTAACTAACTAACTAACTAACTAACTAACTAACTAACTAACTAACTAACTAACTAACTAACTAACTAACTAACTAACTAACTAACTAACTAACTAACTAACTAACTAACTAACTAACTAACTAACTAACTAACTAACTAACTAACTAACTAACTAACTAACTAACTAACTAACTAACTAACTACTAACTAACTAACTAACTAACTAACTAACTAACTACTACTAACTAACTAACTAACTAACTACTAACTAACTAACTAACTAACTAACTAACTAACTACTAACTAACTAACTAACTAACTACTAACTAACTAACTAACTAACTAACTAACTAACTACTAACTAACTAACTAACTAACTAACTAACTAACTAACTAACTAACTAACTAACTAACTAACTACTAACTAACTAACTAACTAACTAACTAACTAACTAACTAACTAACTAACTAACTAACTAACTAACTAACTAACTAACTAACTACTAACTAACTAACTAACTAACTAACTAACTAACTAACTAACTAACACTAACTAACTAACTACTAACTACTAACTAACTAACTAACTACTAACTACTACTAACTAACTAACTAACTAACTAAAAGTCAACGCTCGATTCGATTTTTTGGGTGAAAACATAAAAGTCCATTTTCTGTCTAAACTAGAAGAGCTAGGGCGAAAACATAGAAAATCTGTGATCATATTTCCTACGGAAAATAGATTTTTTGGGTGAAAACATAAATGTCCATTTTCAGGCTAAACTAGAAGAGCCAGTGCGAAAATAAAGAAAATCTGTGATCACTCATATTTCCTACGGAAAATCGATTTTTTGGTTGAAAACCTAAAAGTCCATTTTCTGGCTAAACTAGAAGAGCTAGGGCGAAAATAAAGAAAATCTGTGATCACTCATATTCGCTACCAAAAATCGATTTTTTGAGCTGAAACATAAAAGTCCATTTTCTGGCTAAACTAGAAGAGCTAGGGCGAAAACATAGAAAATCTGTGATCACTCATATTTCCTACGGAAAATCGATTTTTTGGTTGAAAACCTAAAAGTCCATTTTCTGGCTTAACTAGAAGAGCTAGGGCGAAAATAAAGAAAATCTGTGATCACTCATATTGTCTACCAGAAATCGATTTTTTTGGGGGAAAACATAAAAGTCCATTTTCTGGCTAAACTAGAAGAGTTAGGGCCAAAATAAAGAAAATCTGTGATCACTCATATTCTCTACCAAAAATCGATTTTTTGAGTGAAAACATAAAAGTCCATTTTCTGGCTAAACTAGAAGAGTTAGGGCCAAAATAAAGAAAATCTGTGATCACTCATATTCTCTACCAAAAATCGATTTTTTTGGTGAAAACATAAAAGTCCCTTTTCTGGCTAAACTAGAAGAGCTAGGCCCAAAATAAAGAAAATCTGTGATCACTCATATTTCCTACGGAAAATCGATTTTCTGAGTGAAAACATAAAAGTCCATTTTCTGGCTAAACTAGAAGAGCTAGGGCGAAAATAAAGAAAATCTGTGATCCTTACAAAATTCAATTTTTTGGTGAAAACATAAAAGTCCAATTTCTGGCTAAACTAGAAGAGCTAGGGCCAAAATAAAGAAAATCTGTGATCACTCATATTTTGGGTGAAAACATAAAAGTCCATTTTCTGGCTAAACTAGAAGAGCTAGGGCGAAAATAAAGAAAATCTGTGATCACTCATATTTCCTACCAAAAATCGATTTTTTTGGGTGAAAACATAAAAGTCCATTTTCTGGCTAAACTAGAAGAGTTAGGCCGAAAATAAAGAAAATCTGTGATCCCTACCAACATTCAATTTTATGGGTGAAAACATAAAAGTCCAATTTCAGGCTAAACTAGAAGAGCTAGGGCCAAAATAAAGAAAATCTGTGATCACTCATATTCTCTACCAAAAATCTATTTTTTTGAGTGAAAACATAAAAGTCCATTTTCTGGCTAAACTAGAAGAGCTAGGGCGAAAATAAAGAAAATCTGTGATCACTCATATTTCCTACGGAAAATCGATTTTTTGGGTGAAAACATAAAAGTCCATTTTCTGGCTAAACTAGAAGAGCTAGGACGAAAATAAAGAAAATCTGTGATCACTCATATTTCCTACGGAAAATCGATTTTTTGGTTGAAAACCTAAAAGTCCATTTTCTGGCTAAACTAGAAGAGCTAGGGCGATTTTTTGGGTGAAAACATAAAAGTCCATTTTCTGGCTAAACTAGAAGAGTTAGGGCCAAAATAAAGAAAATCTGTGATCACTCATATTTCCTACCAAAAATCGATTTTTTTGGGTGAAAACATAAAAGTCCATTTTCTGGCTAAACTAGAAGAGTTAGGCCGAAAATAAAGAAAATCTGTGATCCCTACCAACATTCAATTTTTTGGGTGAAAACATAAAAGTCCTATTTCTGGCTAAACTAGAAGAGCTAGGGCCAAAATAAAGAAAATCTGTGATCACTCATATTCTCTACCAAAAATCGATTTTTTTGAGTGAAAACATAAAAGTCCATTTTCTGGCTAAACTAGAAGAGCTAGGACGAAAATAAAGAAAATCTGTGATCACTCATATTTCCTACGGAAAATCGATTTTTTGGGTGAAAACATAAAAGTCCATTTACTGGCTAAACTAGAAGAGCTAGGGCGAAAATAAAGAAAATCTGTGATCACTCATATTTCCTACGGAAAATCGATTTTTTGGTTGAAAACCCAAAAGTCCATTTTCTGGCTAAACTAGAAGAGCTAGGGCGATTTTTTGGATGAAAACATAAAAGTCCATTTTCTGGCTAAACTAGAAGAGCTAGGACGAAAATAAAGAAAATCTGTGATCACTCATATTTCCTACGGAAAATCGATTTTTTGGTTGAAAACCTAAAAGTCCATTTTCTGGCCAAACTAGAAGAGCTAGGGCGAAAATAAAGAAAATCTGTGATCACTGATATTCCCTACCAAAAATCGATTTTTTGAGTTGAAACATAAAAGTCCATTTACTGGCTAAACTAGAAGAGCTAGGGCGAAAACATAGAAAATCTGTGATCACTCATATTTCCTACGGAAAATCGATTTTTTGGTTGAAAACCTAAAAGTCCATTTTCTGGCTAAACTAGAAGAGCTAGGGCGAAAACATAGAAAATCTGTGATCACTCATATTTCCTACGCAAAATCGATTTTTTGGGTGAAAACATAAAAGTCCACTTCCTGGCTAAACTAGAAGAGTTAGGCCGAAAATAAAGAAAATCTGTGATCCCTACCAACATTCAATTTTATGGGTGAAAACATAAAAGTCCAATTTCTGGCTAAACTAGAAGAGCTAGGGCCAAAATAAAGAAAATCTGTGATCACTCATATTCTCTACCAAAAATCGATTTTTTTGAGTGAAAACATATAAGTCCATTTTCTGGCTAAACTAGAACAGCTAGGGCCAAAATAAAGAAAATCTGTGATCACTAATATTCTCTACCAAAAATCGATTTTTTTGAGTGAAAACATAAAAGTCCATTTTCTGGCTAAACTAGAACAGCTAGGGCCAAAATAAAGAAAATCTGTGATCACTCATATTTCCTATGGAAAATCGATTTTTTTGGGTGAAAACATAAAAGTCCATTTTCTGGCTAAACTAGAAGAGTTAGGCCGAAAATAAAGAAAATCTGTGATCCTAACAAAATTCAATTTTTTGGTGAAAACATAAAAGTCCAATTTCTGGCTAAACTAGAAGAGCTAGGGCCAAAATAAAGAAAATCTGTGATCACTCATATTTTGGGTGAAAACATAAAAGTCCATTTTCTGGCTAAACTAGAAGAGCTAGGGCGAAAATAAAGAAAATCAGTGATCACTCATATTTCCTACCAAAAATCGATTTTTTTGGTTGAAAACATAAAAGTCCATTTTCTGGCTAAACTAGAAGAGTTAGGCCGAAAATAAAGAAAATCTGTGATCCCTACCAACATTCAATTTTATGGGTGAAAACATAAAAGTCCAATTTCTGGCTAAACTAGAAGAGCTAGGGCCAAAATAAAGAAAATCTGTGATCACTCATATTCTCTACCAAAAATCGATTTTTTTGAGTGAAAACATAAAAGTCCATTTTCTGGCTAAACTAGAACAGCTAGGGCCAAAATAAAGAAAATCTGTGATCACTCATATTCT